GCTAGCTACAGGGAGTGTCTCAATNTATACCTATCCAGTCGGGTCCGAATTCCGGATCCGACCTCGGGCGAATGGCTGATGAAGGGCGGCAGGTACTTCCTCCGATCCGGCTCTGGGATTGGCTCAATACTTGGCGAAGTTGTAACATCGTTACATCTATACTTCTTAACTATCTCTTGTATATGTTTAAACTACGCGTCAATAATCTCTAGATTCTCTTATTAAGTTCTTTAATAATTCTTTACTTAACTAAAGGCTATTCTAAGCTTATCTATATAAGTAACAAACCGCTCTACCTAGCATTTGCCTAAAGGCTCGCTATCTTGTTCGCGTAGTAGTTTCTCCGCCATATCTGCTACTTTATATAGACACGCGGCAAATCCTTATAAGTCTAGGTTAAGAATATATTGTACAATAGTTTGCTCTTTAGACTTAGTTAGCTTCTAGCAATTTAGCTATGTTATAGGTTGACAGGTAATTTCTTAAAGCTGCTAAGAGATCTGCTAATAATAGACGTTGTAGGCTGCTGCAGCGCGTTGAATGCTCTTAAACTAGCCTATACAATAGGCCTAAACAGCTATAGTAAGCCTACCTTCTTGCTGAGTTAATATTGCGTTCTATTGTTAGGGCATTATCTTTCGTACGTGAAGTTCGTGATGCTAAGAAAAAGTGGCACACTCAGTGATGTGGCCCGCTTGGTGATGGAATACCTTAGTACTTATAAATAATCTACTTAGCAAAAAATATATATATAAGTAAAGCCTTTTATAAAAAAAAGGTTACTTAAGTTATAATTTTAAAACTTACTAGATTATTATATGTATAAAAGAATGAGCTTTTGATACGCTTTATAGATATAGTTAAGCTTTTATAAATAGTAGACTTATAGCTATAATAGTAGAATCATAAACTTAGCAAATCAAGTTTTCTTAACATCTTACTATTAATTAAAACGCTTTTTAACACTTTTATATAACCAAGTAGAAAAGAAGAAAATTCTTTTACTATATCCAAGTTTTTAATTTAAAATTTTAAAAAGTAAGCTTTAACGCCTTAAATAATACTTAAAAAACTAACTACTTAAAGAACTTATTTAATCATAAGTTACTAAAGTATTAAGTAAGGTACTAGCTTAGTAAAAATAAAAAGTATAACGTGGTTCACAAGTGAGTCGCTAACGCCCCACTAGCCCATCAACTTCATCACTATAACGCGTGATATCTTAACAACGCAACCGTTTATTAATATATTCTAAATCTAATCTTTAACTTGCTCTTTTTAACGTCTAGTCGCAACGTGTTTAGAGTGTAAACTATGCTACTACTATCTACAACGTCTTACAAAGAACTCTATCTAATTAACGCGCTAGAAAGCGCCCTTAACGTAACTATAAGCTAAAATTAAAGCGTCTAGATAAGCTAGAAGAGGAGGCTATAGTTAAGCGTATTCTTAAAGAGTCTGCGTAAGAATTTACGCTTATAAAGCTTAACGTTTAAGTAATAGCTAATAAACTATTAAAGAAGCGTAGTAGCAACCCTATTAGCAAAAACTAAGTTAATAAGTTTGTTAAGTAGACTTCTAAGCTCTGTACGCGCTAGAGCTGTCCCTATAATTACTAGCAAGCCGCCTACAAGGATCTAGTAGCTATCTAGCGCTAGTTTGACTTAGTCTAGGCGATAAGGTAGAAGTGGGGTATTGTAGACAACTGTAAGAGGCTACGCCTAAAGTGTGTGTGTGATCGAGTATATCTATACGACTACCTAGACTTCAAGAAGCTTGAAGTCTTGTTACTGCCTTTTTGGCTATGGATGGCGTAAGTATTCGTACGCTCGGCCCGTTGGGCCCGCCCATTACAACAACAATATCTATAACTTTAATAAGACTAGCTTTATAATAGGCAAGATTTTATTATAGTTAGTTATTATAGCATTAGAAGAATATAGGAAAAAGAAGCGGATACAGCTAGGCAACCATAAGTGGGTTACTATAGTCTAAGGCGTGGGCGCGTTAGGTCACTAAATACCACCCTTCGTTGTCTTTGCGGGCAAGGTGCTTATTAACGTCTAGTTCAAGGATTTGCCTGCTAACTAGGTTCTTAAAGTTAGTCCTAATAGCTAGACAAATAATTAGCTTAGTCTTGCCTAGTTAGAGCACTCTAATACCTATACAAAGAGCTCTACTATACGGAGGTGCCTTTCAAAAGTATTGTCTGCCAAGAATAATCTAACCGAAGTGCGGCCGCCTTAGCCAAGGCTTGTCTCTCCCCTCTATATACTTATTACCACCTTGTAGCTTAATTATCTTTTAAATATATACAAGAATTCGCTTAATCCAAGCTTGGATCGTAAGTTGTGAGAGATCTCTTTAGCAGTTCTGCTAGACTCTAACTGCCTCAGCCCTTGACTGCGGAGCTCCTTTCCTTGTAGTCTCTCTTTTTATATAGAACTAGCATGGCTTAATACAGTTATAGTCTGGCGAGTTTCTACACTAAAGTAGTCTCTTAACGTCGTATAGGCGATAGATCACACCCTAATAGTAGTAGGCGTGGCTAGGTGCCTTATCCTCCATTACGACAGTCTGAGGTCTATCTTAGAGGCACTCTTTAGCAAAAGGAATTAGCTTTAGAATTAGAACGCAGGCCTGATATCTCCACTAGTCTATACCACCTCCAGACTTACGCACCAGCTTACCTGTCTTCTCTGTCCGTCTCCATTGAGGCTTCCTGCCACGCTTATTGCGTAGCCCTGTCCTTCTCATAGACTCTAACAGCTCCCATTCCTCTCGCTGTAGAGGCTTAAGCTCAGCGTTTAGCTGCTCAATCTAACGAGTAGCATCCTCTCTCTCTGCCTTCGTCTTTGGCTAGTAGATATAGCATATACCTTTCTTGTTATACAAGAAGTAGCCCTAGAACATAAAATTAGAGTATCCCTTCCACCTCTCACGGATGCAGCTCTTAACTACCCTCTCGTCTACCTTTCTCTAGACTCTATAGCCCCCACGTCGGTAGTTGATCACCACTAACGTCTCGTCTATCTAAATAACATTCTTCTAGTCCTCTAACGTCTAGTTCTTATGCTCTAATGCCTACTTAAGACGAGCACTCCTTATCTCCTGTGTTAACCTAAGCTTCCTTGTTGGCTTAGTATTCCTATATCCTGCTGCTCTTAACACCCTCTAGACAGTAGAGGCAGAGATTTCGACTCCTTAGAGACTAAGCCCACTAGCAAGGTTAGCATAGCTCTTCTCTCGTCCATATCTATCGTGTCGTACTTGTTGCAATATCTGCTCCTTCACCTCTGCCTGCTTAGCAGGCCTACTAGGCTTTAGAGCATCCTGAACGTGGTGTAGAAGAATCTTAATAAGAAGGTCGTTTAGCTCAAAGCCTACAGCAATAGCTCTACTATAGATACGATCTACAGTACAAGGATAAACGCTAGTTAGCGTAGAGACTTGTAAGGTATTCTTGCCAATAGGAGGTGATTTTAACGCAATTACTAAGGTACGGGTATATATATTAGTATAAGGAGCCATAGTCAAAGGATAACTACATGGTAGTAGGCAGACTGATCAGACAGCCCCTTAACTCTACAGTGACCGTGCGCCAGATGGTCATGGTCGCCAGTTGGACACCCTAACAACAACAATATAATTAAAAAGATAAGGCTATATAGCCCCCACAAATTGTGATAAAATTGCACAAAGCTAGGATTATACTATATATACGCCTACAAAAGTTTTAGCTTATTTAACCTTTTTTTTAGAGGGCGTTATTAGTTAGTCTCGTCAACTACGCGGTATAATAGCTAGTGCACCCCTTGCGGCTCTTACTATAGCTAGAGCAACACCACCACGCTTTTAACGCTTTGTAGCTAGCTTATAAGGTTTTGAAGCTTTGCGCTTACCCTTTTAGGGCAATTGTATAGCTTTTTTAGCGTCGCAGAGGCTTCTACAGCGCTCCTTTTTGGCTTGCTCTGCAGCCCTCCGCTTTCTGCTCTCCTCCTAACTCTTCTCCTACTTAACACGCTTTGTAGCTTTAATTTAGAGCTTATAATTGCAATTTGCCTTCTTAATGTTAGCTTGCTTAGCTTTTTAGAGCTTTTTAAGCTTAGCTTATTATTGTTGTGCCTCCTAATAATCGCAGGATCGTTGTACACTCCTAGGCGACTATATTTTAGCTCCCCTATAGTAAACCTTGTCCTTATCAAGCTAGAGGGCGAATAACTGCTTTAGTCGCCTCTCCTTGATGGCTAGGTACTGCCTAAGGCCCCTAATCTCCTTATAAAGTATACTGTTTTAAGCTAAGATGTGGTACAAGCTTTGTTAAAGCTTCTTAACGTCCTTACTACTCTAATCCTTTACCTCACGGCGTACGATTAATTTAAGCTTAAGCCAATCGTCTCTAGAGAGGACTAACTAGCTGCTTTTAGAATCTAAAGCCTCCTTGGCAAACCTCTTAAGTACAACGTCTAGGTTAGCTGGCTGTATACTAGTGGCTTTAAAAGACCTTTTAATAAGTTAAGGCCTAAATACAAAGGTCCAGGACCTCTAGAAGAGCGGGAAGAAGTCTCCTTTAGTCAAATTGAGCAACCCCTAGCTGTCCTGTAGGTATCTAGACAACTAAGTTGAGTAAGCTGTTGCTAGGGGTTTAAACATTACTACATTAAGTGGTTAAAGCGTATAGGTAGCGTAAGGTGGAAATACAAACAAGAGGATTTTATTGTCGTAGCAATACTTAATAAACTCCATAGTTACATAGGATGTATGGCTGTTAAGGATTGTTAATTAATACCTAGTTGAAGCGTATCGTCTAGTCTCCCGTTTAAAAACCCTCTTAAGCTAAGCTAACCTAATATCGTTGTTAGTCTAGCTAGAGGGAGATAAGGTTATAAAGACTAAGTGCTCGTTAGCTTGTATAGCTTTAACCTAGCTCGATTAAACCAACCTATTAGACCCCTAGAAGATAAGTGTTGGACTTATAGCTATACTATCTAAACAAATACAAGCTATAACTATTATCTACTTAGTTAAGCTATCTTTAAGTGCTTGCCTTGCCTCTTTTTACTCATAGAGTCTCCTACTAAATATACGTTTTGCACTACTAACTTAGCTAAGTTAAAACCTTTTTTTGTCTAACGTGGTTCATAAGCGAGTCGGCCACCCAAGCGAGTCGGCCACTTTGTACCGGCGCGTCGACGTTAACACTATAACGCGTTATGTCTCAACCACACAATCATTTGTTAATCTATTCTGAATCTGATCTTTAACTTGCTCTTTTTGACGTCCAATCACAACGTGTTGAAAGCCAAAGACGTGCTGCTTCTATCTATAACGTGCCTTGAACTACTCTCCAAGACCAACGCGCTAGAAAGCGCCCTTAACGCAATTGCAAGCTAAAATTAAAGCGTCTAGATAAGCTAGAAGAGAAGGCTATAGTTAAGCGTATTCTTAAAGAGTCTACGTAAGAATTTGCGCCTATAAAGCTTAACGTTTAAGTAATAGCTAATAAACTATTAGAAGAGCGTAGTAGCAACCCTGTTAGCAAAAACTAAGTTAACAACTTTGTTAAGCGGACTCCTAAGCTCTATACGCGCTAGAGCTGTCCCTATAATTACTAGCGAGCCGCCTATAAGGATCCAGTAGCTATCTAGCGCTAGTTTAACTTAGTCTAAGTAACAAGGTAGAAGTAGGGTATTATAGACAACGATATCTTTAACTTTAATAAGACTAGCTTTATAATAGGCAATATTTTATTATGGTTAGTTATTATAGCATAAGAAGGATATAGGAAAAAGAAGTAGATATAGCTAGGGAACTATAAGTGGGTTACTATAATCTATGGCATAGGCGCGTTAGGTTGCTAAATACTACCCTTTGTTGTCTTTGCGGGCAAGGTGCTTATTAACGTCTAGTTTAAGGATTTACCTGCTAACTAGGTTCTTG